TGCAAGTAATATCCAAAAATAGAAAATACATTATGTAAAGGATAGTGGTTAAATCGGTTTATTAGTGTATTGAATAGATAGAACTTGATCTGACTACATGACTGTCGCGCATTTTCTATAATGCGATTTATGTTGTAAGTGTACGGTGTCAAGTTTTGTAATATAGTAATGGAGTTAAAGTGTCGAACCCGCAAGGATTGCAATTAATTCCTACTATATGCTAAAATTATTTCAACTTTTACTTTATCTTGAAAAATCAAATCAAAAGTCAATATTTTTATACTAAAATAACGTGGATTTGTGACAATTCAAGTAAAATACAGAAAATTATAGAACATATTTCTATATTTTAATTCCAATATCTCTATTCTGAATTAAATCTATAGAAATTATCATGCGTAGGGTTATTAAATGGTATAAGCCTCAAAGATTTTATATTTTCTCTCGAAATCTACAAAATTTAGGTTATTTATTCTTGGATAACGCCTAAATCTACCTCTCTTGAGTACCAAAATTTAAGGTATCAAATCATTCAATTATTGATTAGGTAATTGGCATTGCACAAGAATCAACACAAATAAATTAACTGAAAAATCAAACGAAATAACTTTATTAGAATCCAAACATGTCTCAAGTTTAGTTACATCAAACCCTAGATAATAAAATTAGTTCATGAATACAAGAAATGACATATTAAAATCTAAAATAAAGAACATGGAGAAGAAAAAAATAAGAAAAATTGTTTTGCCGCTTGAATTCTTCTCTAAATTGTTGTCGTTTTTGCTCTCAATGACTCATCCTCTTCCTTGCCTTCTAAGCTATCTTCCCCTCTGTAAACTAGGTCTTCAAGTTGGTATTTATAGTCTCTTAAAGTATCAAGACGGATTGGAGTTGGACCAGGCTAAAAAATTTACAAAAAAATATGTTTTTTTCTTTCTCGAGAATTCTGCTTTTATCCTGGCTGGGCGCTGCAGTGCCAAGGAGCTGGCCCAGCTTGCTGCTGATTCTTGGTCTTCTGGCGGCCACTGCGACAGTGTGGCACCCGTTTATTCCTTCATTTATTTGCTTCCGTTTTTGCCTCTTTTCTACTTCATTTTTCTTCTTCATTTACTTCCTCTTCAAGCCCACTTCTATGATCAACACGTGGTTCCATCCCAAGTTCCATAATACGCCATTTTCTCCAAATTACCTAACCTACACAACAACATGAACAAACACATTAAAACGCTCAAAAGTGCTCAAAAACAAGCAAAACACTATATTTTAAAGGTATTATTACACTATATGTGTACGACTCCGGTCATTCCTGTCTTACACAAGGTTAGCTCGAGCTTCACCTAGAGCCGATGGTTGTGATCATTCCTTTGATGGCTAGATGAGAGAGGGTGATTGTGTAGGACGAACTAGCCATCATATGAGACACGACGACGAGACAGTCAAAATCATGAGTACTTATAAATTTTTAATTTTAACAATTTGTTTTTTGCTACACAGTACCGACCGAGCTAACACATTATTTTTTATTTATAGGGGCGATTGTGGTATATTCGCAATAAAGTATATCAAAATTTTAACTTATAGCACATAAGATTGATGTAATCAACCAATCCTGGATATAATATTGGAGGAATAAGTTAGCGTGCGATTTATATAATTTCAATTGTGATCCATGAATATTGTTTATTTATTTGTGACATAATTGTAAATATTGTAAACAAATTGTAAATATCGAAAATTTAATTGTTTATTTATTTTTGAAATAATTGTAAATATCAAAAATTTAATTATTTATTTATTTGTGTACTAATTGTTAATATTATTCAATTATCAGCGATATCATTACACATCAATCTATGTCATTTATGTGAATTTGACTTGTACAAAATTGGCAAGTATGCCGTTTCTCTACACCTACTGCACCTACACAGTCGACTAAACTCTCCGGTAAATGGTATTCTAGATATATGTGGACGTTCAGGACCACACGGTTCAACTTTCAGTGGCAACAAACTATTAAATGGGAGAATATGATTAGGAACTTCCCACTCGACTTCATTCGGTAGAGGAAATATAATCTCAGTGTATGCAATTCTTCAATAATCAGTCGTGTAATAAGGAGAGCATAAGGTTTTCGCTGCAAAGCTTCTATACAAAACCACGGTGACTGCATGCTCACATGGAAAACTCTCCAACTGAAATCGACTACAAGTACAGGTGTTATCAATCATGTCCACCATGTATGCCATATTACGTGGACATTTCACGGAAAAGCGCAACTCATCCAGTGGTTCCACATTCAACTTTCTCGCAACCTCTATAGTTTTGAAGAGTTTATCTTCCCTAGCCAAGATTAGCACGCTCGTGGAACTCTGTAATTCCACACGTTGGTCGTGAAACCACTGTTACAGTTTGTTACGAATGTTCTCAATCATTACGAGGATTGGTAACTCTCGATCCTTCTTAAATAATGTATTGAGAGACTCTATATTGTTTGACGTCTTGATGTTGTATTGATGTCGTAGAAAATGTAATCTCACTCAATGTTCAATTCCCATTTTTATTAGATACTCACATGCCGGTAACGATTTACTTTATGTTTCCACCATGAATTTATTACACTTTTAGACACTATACGATTCGGCTACTCTCCTAAATAAAGAAACGATGTCTTAGCCCCGATACTTATTTTTCAGGTTGCCTTGTATATGGTACATGCAATACCCATGATGTGCCTCGGGAAAAACTTCAGCAATACCATTTATTATAGATGGTCCACAATCAGTTACAAAGGTAAGGTCCTCTGTTTCCCAATTGATTCTCTCAACTTTGGAATAACTAACGCATTGAGAGATCATTCTCGCTATCGACTATGCCGAATGCAATATGGAAAATTTGGATGTGGCATATTGACATGTAGAAATAATTAACTTGCTTCCGTATCTAATTTTCAGAGGTGTACCATCGACTAAAACTATGAGTCATATCGCATTTCGAAATTTCCGAATACATTGTCCAAGAGCCATAAATAAATAATTAAAGCAATTCTCACCCTTCTCCCAATAAAAAATGCAGAGCTGGAATTAGTTGTACTCATGCTATTGTAATAGCTGGCCAATTTAGCGTAGCTCTCCTCGGGAGAGTCCATTAAGTCTTCCAACGCGCATTAAGTCCTCCATGAACACTTCGTACTCTCGACGGACTTTAGTAATGAGGTACGAAGGTCTGTAAATCGTCTGTGGGTCCTAATACTTGTACATTATTTGTCGACCAATAAACCATGTACGGGCTTGCTTGTGATCATTTCGACGAATCACCACTTTGCAAGTATGTTCCTGATATACTTGTGAACTGCATAAAACTCATTTGTGTCCATCTTCTTCGCTCGTAAATTCCAATGGCAACTGTCTTCAATGCAGAAAATCGTCAACAACAACTTGTTTGATTTCTTCAATTTAGCTCAAAGATGTATTTCAGTGCAATTCGGTGCGAAACTTCCTGCAAGAATTAGATGATGGTCCACTCGATCCAGCCCCTGCGCTCCCATCCAACTCATGCCTTTAACAGCATAAAGTAATCAAATCATCATTTGTAAATTCATTATCATTCTCGTTGTCATGACCTACTGACGGAATTATGTATGTAACAGCGAGACCACGATGAAGATCAACAGTCTCGGGAATAACCATATCATCATCCCGAGTTATCTCCACTATGTCCTAAAAATCATTAACATTGTGATCCTCTCCATTCGAATCTGCGTGTTCACCTTCGGTAACATACTTCCTCACTAAAGTCATGCAAAGAGAAGTCGTGTGCATGTTGTTCAATTCCAATAAGTAATTCACTTCAACATCAGAAACAAGTTTCATAGGTAGAATCGGAAAGGATGAATGCTCGTTGAATTTAAATTTCAGTTCCATATCGTATTGAGAGAAATCGATTTTCAGCCTGTTTGCTAAATCATGGTACATTTCAGCATATAATGTGCTCAATGTTACTGAAATTGGAATACCACCACGTATATCACTCGACCATTTCCATGTACATTGATATTTTTCATCCAATTTGAAATCGCTAAAGTAACAACTGGAACCACAACCATATCTACATTACGAAACATAATTTTTAATTGTATAAAAAAATAGCTGAAAAATCAGCCAAACCATTGGATTGTTATGATTAAAAAAAGCTTAATAGCTGACTGTTAACAGACGGCACAACAGTCGGAAGTTAATAGCGACTGTTACGGTCGGTTGTTAACATCAACAGCCAGCTGTTATGACCATGATATATGCAGATGAATTTTTTTTTCTTGTTTATACTTAAAAAAATTATAGATATGTTAAAAAAATTTATCTATATATTAATTTATGTCGAAATATGATTTATCGATTAAAAACGTATACTAATTTAGCGAAAACGAAATTAAACATATTATACTTATCGATTCAAAATGATATACGTAAAAAAGGAAAAAAATTGTTCAGTGTTTGACCAATTTCTGAGATTTTGAAGTTGAAGCAGATGAAAATGAGAGAGTTTTTAACTGTGTTGAAATAAACAGATAAAAAAGTTAGCTGATTTTGAAAATTTTACGTGAAATATTTAATTTTTACTTGTTAACTAAAAATTTAGTATTTTCTTTTAGATAAAAATGATTTTTTGTAAATATAGTGCTTGCTTAAGTGCCTTTTTCTCTTTTACAATTCAAAAGACCATTGTAAAAATATGTAATTGTTAAAAATTCAAAGTAGAAATAAAGGATGTGATCATGCCAATTTTGAAAGTACCTCAAGTTTGACACAATTAATGTTCTTCAAACATGAGCTTAATTTTCATCGGGTGGGTTGTAATTGAGATCCGAAAGGGTATTTACGTAATTTTACCGTCACGTTTTCTTTAATTTAATTTTATTTGTATTTTATCTGGGTCTGGCTAGGGTTTTGTTTCAATTTGCGTCGTTCGTCAAGGAAAGAGAAGTGATCTAACAGTTTGAAGCGATGTACGGACACCGAGGGTAAGTTTAGCATCAATTTTCTGGTCATTAAAATCCATCTGTATGCGCGTTTTGTTTAACAAATTTTCATTGTTTTTTACTTCTATAACTGGGGGATTTTGATTTTGATTCTTATTTCTTCAATTTTTATTTTTCGAATTGCAGTCTTAAAATACGTAGGGTAAAATTTAGATTCTAAACTGATTGAAATTGATGTATTATTTATTTAGCAATTATAACGATAATAATTCTTGTCCGGTGGCTCACAGTACAGTTTCTGAACATTCTATGAAATTTAGTGGGTTGAAAAGTTGATAATTGAATACCGATAAACTTTAATTTACGAACCCGTGATTGTTGCATATAGATTTTACTAAAGATCGCAGTGTACGAAGATGAGAGAAAAGGGGATAAAATGCTACTTAAGAGGATATTGAAGTCTCAAGAGAGGATCGTGTTAGGGCATGTGTAAATTACAGAAAAGAGGAATAGATCAAGATTAACATCAGTACTTACAAAATATATGATTTTATAGAACCTTTAAGCAGCTGTTAGTAAAACGGCCGTGAAAAATATTTATTGTTTCTGGTACAAGATTATTTTGTAAGTGGAGAAAATGAAAAAGTTATATATGTGCTAGAAAGATCTTTAGAGAGGTTCTTAGTCATGATTTTAACTTTTCTATTTTAAGTTTAATCCGGTGGGCAAGATTGTCAATCTTGGACTGTCGGTATGAATATTAAGTGTAATTGGGGACAACAGTGCTGAGGCCACCATTTAGATTGATGATGTGCGTTTTCATCTTGATTGATTAATCAGTATACATTTAATGTTATTATACTGTTTAAAAATTTCATGTTACCATTTCAATTGATGGTGTGCATTGTTTTTTGATCTCTGCACCATGCTTTTTATTCGGATGTTCACTTTTTTTTTTTTTTTTTTTGGGTTGGGATTGGCTTTATTAACAAGGTTGAGTGGGGGAATTTTTTCCTTCCTTGATATGAATAATTGAAGGGCAATGTTGGGGAGCGGGGGGGTTTCGGACGGGTACGAGATCGGCTCAAAGAGACCTAGAATGATGGAATCAAATCCCTACTTGGCAGTGAGCAGCGGTTCAAGTGGCTATCAACCTTATGGCTATGGTAGTGCCAGTAGATATCAGCCTTCTGCCTTCCCCGTTGTACGTGTAAGGGGTCTTCCCTTTAATTGCTCAGATGTTGACATTTTCAAGTTCTTTGCTGGGCTGGACATTGTGGATGTGTTCTTGGTTAACAAGGATGGGCGATTTTCTGGAGAAGGTTTTGTGGTCTTTGCAGGACCGATGCAGGCAGAGCTTGCTCTTCAGAGGGATCGACAAAACATGGGGAGGAGGTACGTCGAAGTTTTTAGGTGCAAAAGGCAGGAGTATTACCATGCCATAGCAACTGAGGTTAATGAAGGAGCTTATGGAAGCATCGACTACCATGGAACCTCATCTCCACCTCGACGCAAGAAGTCTCCAGACAAAAATAATATGGAGTATACAGAGATCTTGAAGTTACGCGGACTCCCGTATTCTGTCAAAAAATCAGAAATTGTTAAATTTTTTGGAGATTTCAACATCCCAGATGATAAGATCCAGATTGCATTGCGATCTGATGGGAAAGCTACTGGAGAGGCATATGTGGAGTTTACCTCGGCCGAAGAGGCGAAGAAAGCAATGTGCAAGGACAAGATGTTGATTGGATCGCGATATGTGGAACTCTATCCTTCAATGCCAGATGAAGCAAGAAGAGCTGCAACAAGATCACGAAAGTAACAGGGAGGTCTCTCCATTTCATTGCAAAATTTTCTCCCTCCCCTTGTGAGCTGATTCATCTTTTCCCCTTCTTTCAACTGGCTGGTAGATGTTTTGCTATATCTAAAGTAGAAGTTTCTCTGTATTTTGGGGTTTGTATGGACATATTATGGAAGATATTTTGCTGAAATCAATGCTTCTTAGATGATATAATTTTTTGAATCATTTTATTCTAAAAGAAATTGTAGATAATGTAATGTTTTTGTTAAAAATTCAATTATATATTATATGGATGAAAATAGAAATTAAATGAAAACGAAGAAAGTAAAAGAAAAATAATATGAGAGCTCGAAGTTTGTTGATTTTCCCCTTCTAAGCATTGCATGATATAAGAATTAGACTTGTAGATTGAGTCATTCTTGTTATTTTTAATGTTCAATTAGTCTTAACTATCTCTTCTTTAAAGTGGGTTATATTTGTTCATCATCACTTTTGCAGTTAAATCAGTCATTAGTAATTGGATCGCCCAATATTTGCATTATTCTGCGTTGAACTCAAATAAATAAATAAATAAATAAAATTAAATAGTAACTTATGACCAAAACTGAAAATAGAAAATAGAAACCTTCTTTTTTTATTGTTATTATTTTTTTTAGGAGTGGGATGGGATGGGATGGGATATTAATAGAAAAAATGGACAGGTTTACATTATTTAACTTAAATCCTGTATTAGAAAAATACAACTTTATGGTAACAAATCATGGACTTTATTGTCTCCGGCTCAATTAGTCTAAAGATTGCAGTGTTTTTACTCCTTTAGTCTTATGAACGTTATTTCACTTTTGACCATATTAACTTTTTTGACAAAATCCTATTAACTTTCCTATTTTTAACTATTTTTGTTCAACTTTTCAACTTTTTGTCTCTTCCATTTCCATTTTTCATCAACTTTAGAATTCGAACCCGTATTTCATTCTCATCTTCACATTCAGGTCTTCCAACTCATTTTTCAGAATAGATTTTTGTATAAATGATTTTTATTTTTATTTTTTTGAGAATTTGTGATTAAGTAGGGAAACGGTTTTAGCTGACATGCAAAATTATTTAATAAAAAATATGTGATTGAAGATGAATTTGGAAAAAAAAAAAAAGTTTAATAATGGGGCTCAGTTGGGACACATTAAACATTTAATCTCTCAATCACTTCATCCTTCAAAAATTATGCACATTAAACTTTTAATCAACAAATGAATTCAGTCTGCTCCACTGGAGATCATCTTGTGTTGACATTTACATATTTTTAATTGTTAAATTGTTGAGGGAACTTTATTCTACAAGTGATGCTACCAACCCACTTCTTTGCAAAAAGTATTTGAATAATAAATTGGTCTAGTCCAAGGAAACTCCTAGTCCTAGGCCAAGATAAGAACAAAAGGGGTGGAAAGAAAACTTTTGAATAGTCATTGGTCAAGTCAAAATTAGCAAGTGTTGACTTGCAAATAAAGTTTCACCAAAAACATGACGACAATTGCCTTGAACGGTCTCTTGAAGGCTTTCCAATTTTTTTTTCTCAAGTTCGGATGAAATTTAGTTTGCATCTAGGGGCGGAGTTAGGATTGTGTCGTACAGGAGGTAAAAATTTTTTAAATTGAATGTACGTAATATCCTATAAATTCCTATATAAATTGCGGTTGACTAAATTTTCAAACTAACATTTACTAAAAAAAATGCCTAATTGAGACACTTTCAAATTCAATTCAAAAACTAGAAGCAGATGTGCTATCAATTTCCAATGCAGACTAATTGAGACTCAGACACTTCCAAATTCAATTCAAAAACTAAATTGAAGAGTGATATTGGTAACTGGTAAGGCAGTAAAGCTAAGGCACATTCAAACATACAAATTCAACATGGTACAAATTCAATCCCCACATTCAAACACACATATTCAATCTCATAGGCCACAACCACATTCAAACACACAAAGACAGTAAATGTGGAAAATGTCCACAGACTCCACACGGTCCAGTGTCCACAGTCCACACAAAATCACAGCTCCAACAAAAAAAATTCAGTAAAAAAACTTCAGCTCCAGCCTCCAGCCTCAAGTACGTATCATTATATTAAGTATAAACTATCAACATTCAGTAAAAAATCAAAAAAAAAAAAAATACCTTTCTCATAGACTCAGTCACAGACGGCGTTCGGCTTCGACGGACGATAGGAGGAAGGGTTTCGTCGTTTCGCACTTCTGGGTTTCAGAGAGTCAGACAGAGAGAGAGAGAGCAGACTAGAGAGGGACGAACAGAATGGTTTGGCAGCTTGGCTGCCTTTCGCAGCTTTGAGGCAGAGAGGCGAGAGCAGAAGTGAGAGAGGGAGTCGTGAGAGATTGTGTGAGAGAGAGATGTTAAATGGGTAGGATTGGGAATTGGGTTNAGAGATGTTAAATGGGTAGGATTGGGAATTGGGTTTAATTTTAGGTGGGTTGGGCTTTCAATTTTTCAAATGGGCTAGGGCTTTCTCCAATTTTTTTTTTTCAAAGGGTGGGCTTGGGCAAGGGTGGGTTTAATTTTGATTTTCTATTTATGTACAAGGGTAAATATTATAATTACAGCGTGACCCCAAATCTATTTAGAAGGCTATTTGAAAATTCTATTTTAAGACGACTTGGTAATTCTATTTGAATTCTAATTGGAATTCAATTTGGGAGTTTGAAATTTATTTTGGACTTGAAAAAGACATGAAAGAGTCCGAGTTGCAATAAGAGATAAAGAAATCGTGGAAGAAAAATGAAACAATGAACAAGCTCTTGCACATGCTTTGCTCTCACTCAAGTGCCCAAAACAGGAGCATTAGCGCTTGCTAGCCGCGAGGCGGGCACTCAAGTTGTAGGCCATGGCTCGACAACAACGAGATCATCGCTTGATTGGCGATCTTATCCCAGTTTTGAAGAGTTCTCATTTTTGGAAAAATTTTGAATCCTATTTTATCTCAAACACTTCATTATTGAAAAACCTTAATTCTAGTCGAACTCCACCACATCTTAAGCTCTTCTTGATGCTTGATTTTTGTGATAACAAATGTGAAGTATAATATTTCGCTACTGGATCGTAATACCAGATTTTCGCTTTAGTAGGTAAATATGCTAGTAGTGCTCGTTCAGATGGATGTAGATGATGCGTTATTCGGATTTGACAAGATGCCCTCAACTTGGAGTATGAAAGAAAGACAACGTAATGATCGAAAGTCCCAATCGCAGATATATCTTCATCTTTCGAATAATATTTTTCAGGACATTTTGAACGAGAAAATTGTTGCTACATTATGGTTTAAATTGGACTAATTATGCATGACGAAAAGTTTAACAAGCAAATTACACTTGAAATAGCAATTGTGTTATCATCATGTGACAGAAGGTACTTTACTGGAAGATTACCTAGTTGTTTTTAAAAAATCGTCGTTGATTTGGAAACTTTGAAAGTTAAGTATAATGAAGAAGATTTAGGGTTAATATTATTGTGTTTGCTGCCCACTTCATACATATCATTTAGAAATAAGATCTTATACAATCGTGATAATCACTATTGAAGATGTATGTGATGTTCTGCTTTTAAAGGAAAAAAATGAAGAATCTTGTTGGATCTGAAACTAAAGGAGATGGTCTTGTTGTTCATGGTGATTATGTGAGGGGTAGATCAAGGTCTAATTACACTAATAAAGTCTGTATTATTGCAAAAGATAGAGACGCGTTGTTATAAATTGCAAATAAGAAAAAAATTAATTTCTGCAAATCAGAAGAAAAAACAATCAGAAACTTCAGGTGAAATCAGTATTGCAAAAGGTAGCTACAATAATGGAGAATTTTTGGTGATTTCTGATGGTGACTCCAACCTTGACGATATTTGAATTCTTGATAAAACTTGTATTTTTCATGGGTGTCATAACCAGGATTAAGGTAACGAGAAATTATACACTTTGTAGGATAAAAGGTATTGGAAGGGTCAGAATTAACATATTTGATGGGACTGTCAGAACACTTGATGATGTGAGATATGTTCTAGATTTGAAGAGAAATCTTATCTCCTTGGGTACTTTTGATTCAAAAAAATACAAGTACAGTTGTGTAGTAGGAGCCCTGAAAGCTAGTAAATGTGCATGTGTTATGTTGAAGAGATAGAGAAGGTCCCGATTATATTTCTTGCTTAGTTCTACAGAATTTTTGGATAATAATTAGCAGAAAATTAGGGACTCGGGTGGATTTTGAGTTTAGTTTAGTAGCGTTGGAATTTGGTTAATGCCCTATATTAAAGAATACATTTCAATCAAGCTCAAAAGTTAAGGGCAATTCCTCTTTGCCATTATCACCAATGGTGCCTCAATATTCAATTGCTAGAGACAGACCTAGGAGAGATATTAGGCTTCTATAAAGATACGATGAAGTTGCTTATACTTTATGTGCGGTTGAAGATATTGAGTCTAGCAAAGAACCTTCTATAGAAACATTTTGTTATGTTGATTCTGTCATAGGGTATGTTTCTGCCCTATTTGATAATTATTAAGTTATTTGTGATCTTGTTGCTCGTGAGGATAATTCGAGTAACTTTAGTACTCAAGGTAATCCTGTTGAGTAGTGTTTGGATTCAGTTGAACTTGCCCTAGTTGGGCTTTGTGGAAGAGATAAAGGATTTGTGGTAGAGATTTTTTTGGTTGAAGATTTAAGTTTTATTCTTTGTAGTGTAATTTGTCACTAGTTGGAGAATTTTTGAAGTTTTGGTCATTGCAATAGAATTCAAGCTCCCAGAACATGAGGCAGAAGCATTGATGCTCGCTAGTCGTGACGCAGTCGCTTGAGCCCCCAGAATAAGTGCATTGATTCTCTCTAATCGCGAGGCGGCCGCTCAAGCGATAGGCCACCGCTCGATAACCGCTAGAGCATCTCTCGAGCAGCGGTCTTATCCGAATTTCGAATAGTATTCTTTTTGGCATTTTATCTCTAACACTCCATTATTGTATAGACTTAA